GTCGGTGCCTTCGTATTGAAAGAAAATAACAGCTCCGCGCTTTTCTCTTCACTTTCCTCATTCAAGAACCTCTACCGCAAGGCTGCGGCGTGCGTACGCCGCTACGTTAGCCATCGATGTGTGCAGCATTCGTAAACACCCGCCACTCTACCGCTACTTTCGAGAGTTACGGGAAAGCTCGCCGCCTGTCAATGGAGCGCGGGCAGTTTGGGGTGGCTGAGTTCGATATATCCATTATATGTCAAACTTTGTTCGAAATAAAAAATCAATAATGCATGCGATTTCCCACATGATATAGGAACCGTTCGATATAGGCAATAATTCGATATATCCGTGTTCGATATATTGAAGTTTGACTGTATTATTGTGATAAGGCTCTCTCCCATATCAGGTGCCAAAGCGTCAGCAAACTTTGTGTTCCATGGGTCCGTGTATTCTTTCACGTTTACACTAAGAAGCAACAGTTTTGCCCGGTCTCTTTCTTTCACACCTCTTCTATCAGCTCACTGTAGTCTGTAGTAACAGTTGGAAAAGAGACTTTTTAAGCTTTGATCAATGGTAATGCTTATTTTTTGTGATGGCCCCACAGAACTGCCGCCAGTTTCCATGACCTAGCCAGGTTTTTTCAGAAATTCCTTGATTTTCCATGTCTTTTCCAGAAGGATCCGAATTCCCTGACTTTTCCAGGTTTTCCAGGTTGGTAGACACCCTGTTAGAGTAACAAAACAATCTGGTAGATTCAATATTTGTATTGTAAGTCATAAGAAACTGTGTTTAGTATTATTATTGCATGTGGACAAAGACAAATATGAAGATCAAGTGCATCATAGCAATCATCATGTAGGCAAGCTTTCATGTGCCAGCCTTGACAATTGTGAACAAACGGTTCACCGCAGTTGCTCAGATTCCTCAAACGTACCCGTCGTGCCCCTCTGAAAGTGTTGGGAGAAAACATACACCATTGTGTCTATTGTCCCAAAAGTTGCTTGACCAGCAGTGTGCAGTGAGTGAAGGAGCACAAGAAAGGAGGGTGTTTGTGTCACATTGCACATCTGTTGAACCGGTTTCCTAGTAACAGAATGGGCACATTTTTTTTTTCAAGTGCCCTGTGTGGACATCAGCAGCAACATGTGAAGTTACAAAGGATGACTTTTCGACAAAAAACATCGAAACAAGGCACGCGCTCACAGCTGTTTTTGGCAGAGATTAACCGCAGCTAGCAACAACAACCTTGCTCACTTGCATGCCACAGATAGGGCCACGTGTAACAACTGTTTCTTACATTTCATCAAACATTTATCAGTTCTTATCATACGTTAACTATTGTCCATTCTTTGTATAAGCCCTGTTTCCAGTTCTTCATTCGCTCACATGAATAATTAAACAAACTGCGCTGTGTCCCGTGACTAGTGCTAACAGCCCCTTCCAAATCTTAAAACACTTTTTCGCAGGCCACTAGTGTACTGCGGCGAAGGCGGCTTAAGTGGTGTTCTGCACAGTTTAGAACAAGGTCATGGAATTTTCAAACTGCCAAACTACCCCCCCCCCCCCCCCTTTTTTTGGGATAGGATTACGTTTAGTGCTCAGTATCTCATGTGGAGTGCTCCGGTGATCGGACACGTCTGCACTGACTTCGGTGAAGGTATATAAGGAAGCCACCAATGCACAGGAACCACTAACCACTTTTTAGCAGCGGCCGTAGGAATCGGACACCTTCTGAAAATGTGTTCCTTTCACTACAGATTGGTGCAGTCCAGCCGAACAGCAGCCACCCGTACTGTACGCGTTACCCTCCTGTGCCTGACTGCACCTGCGCTATGTGGCTACCAGCAGTGCCTGTCTGCACTTGCGCTACGTGGCTACAAGGGGTCGACATCGACTCATTATCGTCGCCTTGTACGATATTAAGCATCCTGATACTCACATGTGAAGCGCTCCGGTCAACGGACACATCTGCGCTGACTTCAGTGGAGGCTATATAACGAAGACACCAACGCACAGGAACCCCATTTCTGAGCAACGGCCGTAAGAATCAGACACCTTCTAAAAATCTGTTCCTCTTGCTAGAGACCAGTGCAGTCCAGCTTCGCTTGCCCTGATCTACACATCCTTTCCCCTGATGGCACTCCATCGTTTCGCATTTGCTCTTCACCTTCTCACGACTACACAAAGGGACCTCCTCTGGACTGCTATCAAGGCCTTCAAGACGATTCTTTAATACCTTGGGGTCACTGGACTGCACAACCAGCTGCAGAAGCCGCACGCCGCGTCCTTGGCAATGAACGTCATTCTCCTTTTCTCTCCTACTCCCAACTCCACTCTCCATTCTATAGCAGATGCTAATGCTAAGACATGCTCCTTTTAAAGGTTGCAGAAGTAGCATCATATTATCCGCCCATACGTCCGTCCGTCCGCATTCAATAATCTATCTAGTCGCCTAGAGCGTTTAGTTCTCCTGGCTGTTTTGATATTGATATCGATACCAATACTGGTATGGAATAACATGACGGTAATGACGAGCATAATAAGTGACTAGTCATAACATGAAAATTATGACATGTATGTCATGAATGTCAAGATTTACATTTAATGGTCTAGCTGCTCTTGCGATGGTTCCGTTCACATGACATATTGAAAAACTGGTATGGTATGACATGACTGCATGGCGAACATAAGTGACAGACCCTAACGTAGAAATCATGAAATGCATGTCATATAAGTCATGGTTACATGCCAGAGTGACGCCACAGAACACAGTAACATTGTATAAGCACAGAGATAAGCGCACCCCATCGTTTAGGCCGCACAGATGGCAAGCAAGCAGGTTTCATGCATTAGCAAGCTTTCCGTGTCTCTGTCTGAGAAGAAATTATGGTTCCTCGATAGTATTGGCGCGCGCAACTAGTAATACTAGTTCTTTTAGTTTTCTGTATCGTTTTCTTAGAGTGCTTTCTTGGCTTTTGTCTTTTCCGTTACTCTTGCATTGCTCTTTTTTTGTCACATGGCTTTTGTCACATGGTTTACTGTCTCCTTTACATGTTTCCACACTCTGCACAATAAACAGTTGGAAGTTAGTGCTCACCTTCCTGTTTCTTTGTCGTCGTTCTGAGCTCGCGCTATAACAATCCTAATGTCATATCAACAGGCCCAAAATGCCACGCTTTTAAGCCAGGCTCATGAAGCGCTCGCAACCGTTTAGCTAGCTTCACATATATCAAACTTGGTATTATGTGGTGCGAACAGATGACAAGGATAAATGACACGTGCAAACAAGATAATCATGACATGCATGTCATGTAAAAAATGACCACATGCTACGCTCATAGTGCGCTCATGGTCATTTGGCTAGACTCACATATAATGAATTTGGTATTACGTGATGTGAATGGATGACGTCCAAACATGATAATCATGACATACGTGTCATGCAAGACATGACTACATGCTACGCTCATAGCGTGCTTGCAGCCGTTTCGCTAGCTCCACATATACCAAATTTGGTATCACGTGACGTGAATAGACGAAGGTTAATTCCAAACATGACATGACAATTTGCACGGCATAATTTACGTCCGCCTCCTAACGTTGTGCTGATTTTAAAGTGACATATCAACCTTCCTCATTTGTGCTTCGCATATCATCGATTCCCACTGTACGTGGGATCTGCCAATCTTTTTTAAATGATTTGTTTCGTCATGAGGACTTGGAAATCATTATTATTTTGAGCATGTGGCTTTAGCGAACCCATCATGCAAAATGGCGACAATTTCCAGTCTAGACAATGAGCTCTTTTAAGTTTTTAGCAGATACCTTGTGCTCTTGAAAAGCAATTTTAGCCTACTTAATGTCTAATTACAATTTGCAGGTTTTTTGTTCTCAATGTAGACAAACAAAACTTCTGAAAGCAAATAAAAACATGACTGCGTCATTTTAGGAAAAACTTGCATTTTTTTAGTCGCATTTCCCCGAAATCTACTACTGCATTAGGTGCATACCTTCGGGGCTCGTAGTGACTATCGATGATTGCGTCAGAGCGACTGCAATTTCGTTCCCGGAAATTGCGACACATAGAAATTCTGTTTTTAATACACATGCACTGGCTGCATATGTGTCTTCAAAAGTAAGGCGCTTGTAGCTATCTATTATCACATCTGTCACAGTTTTGTCCGAGTGTTTGTGGAAAGAAGCATCACTTTGACTGCATAAGCATTGGACGCTCGTGCACTTTCGGAGTTCCATCAGTTTCTTCGACGCCATACACGATCGTGCTAAGAGCAGTCGTGGTTTCGTTGGTCGCTTGCGTCTTTCTGAGGCTTCCAGCACGCTGGTCTAGGCTATTGCTTGACGATTTTGTAACGAAAAAGTTCAATTAGCAGCATAATGCACCATTGTGTTTCGAACATCCAAACAATGGCCCATTTGACACAGTGAAATTTTGTTGGGAAATCTTGTGATTCGTATCACCAAGATTCTATTGTATATTTGCATATATACCTGTTCATTAATTTAAATTATAATGCCATAGAATAAGAATTTAACGGAAAGCCTGGATTTGATGGGGCTGGATTTTGCCAGTGCGGCCAGACCATGCCCAGAAATTTAGATTTTCTGGGAAGACTTAGCAGTCAACTTTACAAACGAAAGAAACAGTAGAAGTCCAGGATTTTCCTGGAAAGACCTGGCAGGTATACTTGGCAGGAAGACTTAGCAGTTAAATTTGCTTTACAAAATATGACAATAGAAAAATTGTTTGAATTAACTGAGTATTCAGGATAATGGAGCTCAAATGAATGGGCAAAAAGCTATTTCGTTTTTTGCCCAAGCTTGCCCACATCTTCACCAAATAAATTACCTTTCGTATGATTTGAGGTCTTACTGCAGTTAAAAATCCGAAAACAGTAGGAGTCTTTGCATATTGAGTTTTGAGCGCATATTGGGGACCCACCTGCTAGCACCGCTTATCAACTACACTTTCACAGTGGAATTGAGATGATGCTCACCAGTAGGATGTGTGCTCTTCTCGAAGAAGTGGTTGAGCACCTCAAGTGCCTGTGGTGTGAAGGAAGTGCGCTGCTTGCGCTTCTTGGTCGGCTCGATGCCACCGCCACCCACCAGGTCGGCCAGGGCGTGGCTGCCCCCCGACTGCAGCCGCTCCTCAGCTTCACGCATCCACCTTTCCAACACAGGCTTGATCTTTTGTGCACTCTTTGGTGTGATGTCCAGTTTCTCAAACCTGCACAAGACACCTACTTGTGGCCACAGTTTCACATTATGCGTCACCTACGTGAACATTTCAGGAAAGTATGCCATGCTATAGAGTATGCGTGTCTTTGCAATGATGGCTGAACTCATGTTAGCATAAATATGAAAATGGCACACTGCATTTTCCATATATTGCACACATGTACACCAGAGCCTTATTGGCACGTACACACTCACTTTGTACAATTCGTTGGAGCCAATGTTTGCAATTAGAAATACAATAGATGACATAATATTGGAGCCATGCAAAGCAGTGAAATTTCATCTCAATTTGAATTCACTTTTTTTTTTGTTTTTTCATAAATTTGCCCTACAGCATCAGTACAACACAGAATCGTGTTGCTGCATTTCCCCCATGAAGTCCAGGAAGGATCCATGCTTCGGACCAAGGTACTCGGCTGCTGAGCCGCATGGCGCGGGTTCGAATCCCGGCTGCGGCGGCTGCATTTCCGATGGAGGCAGAAATGTTGTAGGCCCGTGTGCTCAGATTTGGGTGCACGTTAAAGAACCCCAGGTGGTCGAAATTTCCGGAGCCCTCCACTACGGCGTCTCTCATAATCATGAAGTGGTTTTGGGACGTTAAACCCCACATATCAATCAATGCTTCGGACCATGTATCCATTGCCGAAAAACTTGCAGCAATGAATTCAAGGTAAGTAGTTTTGAGTAGTGGCTAAAAATTATGGATATCAAAGTACATGCCCACTTGAAAGCATCAAGGATTAACATAAAGGTCCCTGTTGTAATTAGCAGCGGCACTTATGATGGCAAACAGCAGTGATTTTTTTCTTGGTGGGGTTTGTGGCATCTAAAGAAAGAGTTTCTCTTTCTGGCTTCTGGACATGCTTTATTTAATAAATGCATGTTATGTATTTTGGTTGTTTGTCAACACTAAGACTTTGACCTAAATCAAAGCAGCAAGATGCTTTTTTTTTGACAGATGGCTGAAAACTGCCGTGTTTCCCATGCTGCGCAAATAAAATGGCTCATTGTGCATTAAAGACTGCAAGGATCAAGGTTCATTCAGTCCAGATTATACCTACTCTTTCTTAATACCATTTTCAAGAACAAGACTTCAAAAATGCAACGAAAACGTGACGCTGACAAGTTCCAGAAGCCCGACTGAGGACAAGAAAGAACTAGTGTGTGCTGCTCAAGGTTGCCAGGTTCCTGAAAAAAAAAAAAAAAACCTGTGGCTAAGCCTGGCAACTCTGGCACTGCTGTTTCGCTCATTTGTGTGGGATTTGTCCACACTGGCACCAGGTTGGGCGCACAGAGTCTGTGTTCTGGTCTAAGCAGAATATAACACTTCATTTTTCTGCCAGCAAGTCCCCAAGTTTTAGGTTCGTGTACTTGGTGACATTTTTTTGGTCGTCTCCCTTGACTGGGCTCACTTTTCCACAATGTCCCTGACACTATACCCTTTCCATAATTGTAAAGCTAGCTTTCCTGCAACAAAGTCGTCATCAGCCTGACTACACCCACTGCAGGGCAAAGGCCTCCCCATGTTCAGCAACAAACTTGGTCCTGTGCTTTCAGCTGCCATGTTACACCTGCAAACTTCTTAATCTCATCTGCCCACCTAACTTTCTGTCTCCCTGTCACATATTTGCTATCTCTTGGAATCTAGTCAGTTACCCTTAATGACTAGCGGTTATCCTGTCCACGCGCTGTGTGTCTGGCCTAGGTCCATTTATTATTCTTGATTTCAACTATGACAACCTTAACCCCGGTTTGTTCACTGGCCCACTCTGCTCTCTTCATGTCTCTTAAAGAAGTACTGACATTAAATTTCAGAATTCTTTCCTTCGATTGCTCGGTATGCATTGGTTTTCTAGGCCAAACTTGAAGGGCATTCCTCGAGTGGAAGTTATTTCATTTTGACGCCATACAACACATTGCTGCGTATGAAAAAAAGGAACTTCGGGTAAGGAAAACCGCGTAGTTGCAGAGACGCAGGTTAGTGACGCGACACAACTAAAGAGCCTGGGTGAGAGCACGCGCTGTCCCAAAAACGACTTCCTAGTTTTTTTCTTCTGTATGCAGACTACATGCTCACCGCAGTTCATGGGCAGGTGGCATTATTCCACCACTGAAAAAAAAAGGCATCGCCCCGATGCTCGTGCAAATGGTAGTAGCGGAAGTAAACCAAACGTGCACACTGTGGGCAAGCTGACCAAGAAAAAGCAACAACAAAAAAAGAACAAGGTCGAGGCACGGTCGCACTAGCGCCTAAAGTACAGCTTGAGCCATACAACGTGAACAATCTCTGGGTACTGCTTTCGATGCTAGGGCGACATGGTTCCGTGTGGGATCACCTCATAGTTCACATCACACACGCGACGCACTGCTTTGTAGGGTCCAAAGTAGCGACCCAGGAGCTTTTCGGACAACCTTTGGCGGAGAACCAGAGTGCATACCCAAACTAGATCTCCTAGGTGGTATTCGACCTGCGGATGGCGAAGACTCTAGTGGCGTGCATCTGCAGTTTGTTGTTGCGTGATATGCAGGCATGCCAACTGTTGAGCTTCTTTGGCATACTGAACAAGCTGTTCAGCGTGAGGTGAGAGCAAACCGTCATAATCCTGTGGCAACATAACGTCTAGCATGGTTTGAACCTCACGTCTGTAGACGAGACGGAATGGTGTGTATCGTATCATTTCTTGGATGGCAGTGTTGTATGCGAATGATATGTAAGGGATCACTTGATCCCACGTCTTATGCTGAACGTCCACATACATTAATAACATATCAATGGTCTTGTTAAGTCGTTCTGTCAGGCCGTTTGACTGCGAATGATACGCCGTCATCTTGCGATGGCTCGTGTAGCTTAGTTTGAATACATCGTCATTGAGCTGAGCCGTGAAACGGAAGACGGGGCGCCATGGCGAAGAACGATCTGGTTCACGAAAAACTGGGCTACATCGGAAGCTGTAACTCGTTGCTGGGGCTCTTGTCTCAGCGTATCTCGTTAGATGATCAGTCGCTGTAACTATCCACTTGTTACCGGCGGATGACAGAGAAAATTGCCCCAGTAAATTTATTCTTATTTGATCGAACGGCACCCTCGGTGGTGTGATTGGTTGCAGCAGGCCTGCAGGCTTCAGAGGCGGAGATTTGTGGCGTTGACATTCACGGCAGCTTTTCACATATCGCTTGACGTACGTAGCAAGTTTCGGCCAGTAGTAGGCCTGCTAAACTCTGGCGAGAGTTTGCAAAAAACCTAGATGACCGGATGTGGGCTCGTCGTGGCAGGTCAAAAGAATGTCATCTTGCATGTCAGATGGAACCATCAGCAGGTAAGCTTTCCCATTGCTGTTCGAGTTTGTTTTATACAAGACACCGTTCCATAGGCAGAACGAAGAGAGATTGCGAGAAATGTGTCAAGGTACGGGTGTGTTGCATCCTTCTAGTTGGTCAATGATAGCGCGGATCTCGATGTCATGGTGTTGTTGTGCAATCAAGTCTGTTGCAGTAAGGACTCCGAGGAAGCCGCTGTCATCGTCATTGTCAGGATCACAAACTGCAGTAGGTGCATGGAACAAGGAATCAGCATCTTCGTGCTAGCGGCCCGATTTATACCATGGTAAGGTCAAATTCGGCGATGGCGTAGTGGTTAGAACATCCGCCTCGCATGCAAGAGGTCCGTGGTTCAAATCCCGGTACCGCGCAGTTCCCAACCGGATTAAAAAAAAAAAAAATCCGTGTGTTGATGGAACTGCATTAAGAGGCCCGGGGTGCGGCCTCACCGGCAAACACCGCCGACAACGCACTCCCTCACCAGAGAAGGATTGGCCACCCTGGTGCAGTATCTGGCCACTACCTCCCACATGCTTACGTCAAATAACTCACGGCCCTCAGTCCCCAGCAGCTGCGAAGCAACTGACCACGGCGGTGGTCAGATCTGCAACGCAGCAGAGGGTGCTAAGAATCTCTGGATCCGGACAGGCCGCCATTGGAACCTGAACTTGGCAACGTTTAATGCTAGAACCTTATCTAGTGAGGGAAGTCTAGCTGTACTATTCGAGGAGCTACAGGGTGTTAAATGGGATATAATAGGGCTCAGTGAGGTTAGGAGGACAGATGAGGCCTATACGGTGCTACAGAATGGGCACGTCCTTTGCTACAGGGGCTTGGCAGACAGAAGAGAACTGGGAGTGGGGTTCCTAATTCACAGAAACATAGCTGGCAACATAGAGGAATACTATAGCATTAATGAAAGGGTGGTAGGTATCGTAATTAAACTGAATAAAAGATACAAGATGAAGGTAGTACAGGCTTACGCGCCTACATCCAGCCATGATGACGCTTCAGTTGAAAGCTTCTATGAAGACGTGGAATCGGCAATGAGTAAGGTAAAAACACAGTATACTATAGTGATGGGCGACTTTAATGCAAAGGTAGGGAAGAAGCAGGCTGGAGACCAGGCAGTAGGAGATTATGGCATCGGTACTAGAAACGCCAGAGGAGAGCTACTAGTAGAATTCGCAGAACGCAATAATTTACGAATTTTGAATACCTTCTACCGAAAACGAGAAAACCGCAAGTGGACATGGAGGAGCCCTAATGGCGAAAATAAGAACGAAATAGACTTTATAATGAGTGCACACCCTGGAATCGTGCGGGATGTGGAAGTGATTGGCAAGGTACGATGCAGTGACCATAGAATGGTACGGTCTCGAATTCGCCTAGACTTGAAGAAGGAACGGCAGAAACTGATACGCAAGAAGCCAATAAATCAGCTAGCACTGAGAGGGAAAGTACAGGAATTCAGAGTGTCGCTGCAGAACAGGTACTCGGCTCTTAGTGAGGAAACCAACCTTAGCGTAGATACAATGAATGATAATCTGACGAGTATCATTACGGAGTGTGCAGTGGAAGTTGGAGGCAGGGTAGTTAGACAGGACACTGGCAAGCTTTCCCAGGAAACGAAGAACCTAATTAAGAAGCGTCAAATCATGAAAGTGTCAA